ATGTACGATTACGATTAATCGATGTTTCATAAGACAGAGGACAAAACAAAGAGAGCCTATTTAACTATTCGAGGCTACAACTATTTATCTATATTTATGTATATTTGTTTCAGAATTCTATCTTATAGGTGTGCAGCTTTTTTAAGAGACTTGCAAGAAAATTTTCGTGTTCCATGAAAAAATGAAAAAGTTTAAAAATATTGTGTGAAAGTACTGACATAGAGAAGACATAGAAAATTGATTAATCGAAATCCCTCGTGTTAGATCCCTTTACTCCTGAGCTTTCCAATTATACTTGTGTTATACCTTCAAATAAACTTTCTAACATGTACCGTAGCATTATCAAGGACGTCATTAAAGGCTAAGCAGTTATTATAAATAACTTAAATTTCTTAAAACTCGAAACAGAAAGAGCAGAAGACATACTGACGAAAAACTACGAAATAAGAATAAAGAATAAAATTCGATGATATAAATCAAACGCAGATGGAATGTTGCATTAACGCAAGATTTGGTTCTTCGTGTTCTTCATGTGCTTAGTTAACTGAAAGACGCAAGTAGAAAAACAGCAAGTGGCGAGAAAAATTGGCAGAGAATTGTAAATTGCAGTTTACGCGAGACCTGGCTCGCGGATAGCTTAAGGCTCCTCTAAATAATTATTAATGATCATCAGGGTGAAAGTGTGACTCCGATCGTGTTGACACTGCATTGTGAGCCGCAGACAATGCTACGGTGGCTTTCTGAAACGTGTGCCTATGGGTTTGATGGAGGAGCAAACGCGATGGCGGCACGGAGGGCACAGTCCGTAATTAATAACTTGGAATTGATTAAGGTGTCAGATAAGTCCATGGAGACGGTGGTTCGTGGCTCTTTCTCCCCTTCTCCGGTCGCCTCTCTTTCTTCATCGGTGCGACGCGTTACGATATGATTAATAATTTCGAGATAACGCGCGCGCCGTCCCTGCGTCCTTGTCCCTTTGAGAGGGACCGATTTGCGGCCCCACTTACGGCCTCATAAATGACTAATTATTTTCACTGTCCTCGCCCGTTTCTGACCACTCTGCTTAAAAGGGGAAATCAGGACGTTCGGCTGGCTTGGTTTCCACCATTTCCTTATTTCGATATTAATGTATTACGAATTAGAACATGTTCTAATTAGCCTTGTTTATTACTTTATTTTAACGAACCGGACTGAAATAAAAGATTACTTGCAAACGAGCTACTTGATGTAGATTGTTTCAAATTGTTATTTGTTATCTTTATTTCAAGCAAAATTTGCCCAATCCTGATATACATTTTCCTATTACAAACAGCACTCCAAACATGCACTAAGTTGTGCACCAAAATATTTTTCTTCAAATGAATTTCCACCGAGACTGCTCAAAGGACAATATGTTTAAAAACTTCACATATTTAAGAAGATCCATGGTTTCATCCTGTTGCAACGCAACGCGACTAAGGGAACCGTTCCTGTATGTCGAGACCAATAAAAAGAAAGGAGGGAAACTTCTTTTTCGATAGAAGTTGAGCGATCGTCTATGCAAATACCTAATCCTTTCGCAGATCCATCCAGGTGACGTTGACGGATTGGTGGAGGACTTTGTTCAGAGGCAGCTCAAACAGATTGCAATCCGCGACACCATTTGTTTCCCCCGAGACGCGAAGATCTTCCTACCGGCGCGAAGACCTCGTTCAAATCGATTAACAGGTCTCTGTTAATTGCTAGTAAAAAGCAACCCGGATGGATACACTAACGCGAAATATCGAAAAGATGGAACAGTACACGCGTCTGTGTCAAACTGACTTCACATGAGAATCGATTAAAAGATTGTTATACGTTTACGAGACACTTGAAAGATGAAACACGATATCTCGAAGAAGAAAAGAAAGAAAATAATTCTAAGAACAACGTGTTTCATACTTGCGCAAATAGAACTGTCTTAAGAAAAGTTTTAATTTTCGTGTGTAAATTATCATAAACGAAGAAAGTGGAGATTTTTCGATAATACCATCGCGAAAAAAAAAAAGGGTCTGAAGGATTAATCACCCAGAGATGCGAGGAAAGACAATGGCATTGGTCTGGAAAAATATTTCCTACCTTTACCCTTGGTCGACAAAGGGTAAAGTATCCGCGATGAATCGAAAGCAACGTTATCGCTGGTCGGAATGTGAAATAAAATTCTGCGAACATTCTTTGAATAACCACGGTTTCAATCGTTTTTATGGAAAAAATGCTACGTTCTACTGAAATTTCGTATTAAAGGAAACAACGAGTTTGATAAAATTCTACAAATACTGACATATACAAAATTCGTCGGAGAATTCTATTTATATTTATGTTTAACGAAGAAAACTTTGATAAACATCTAAACGAATTATTAATCTATCTAAACAGGAAGCTTTCGTGAAAATTACTTCGTTGCATATGTCCGACAACTATCCGACTAATCTAAAAGGAGCATTATAAAATAATTGATTAATCAAATTTTCAACAACAGATAATTCCTCCAGCAACGTTACATTATAATGTAACTTAGCAACTTTTTATAATTTATATTTCGCCATTTAAAGTGTACAGAAATGTTTCAACTACCTGCAACTTATAAAAATCGATTTAGCGATGCTTATAAATGCAAGCAAAAGAGAATATCGTCAAGACCTTGTACCAGCAGAAATCAACGACAGAGGGAAAGAAAGCAAAAAAGGAAGAAACGATTTTCAAGGCTGAAACGCTAGTTAATAATCAGGGCTCATTAAAATTTAATTGCATCGATACACGTTACGATTCTTTTAGAAGCGCTTAATTAGATTCCATCTTCTGCCTCTGCCATTTTAAATACTTAGCCAGAGGAGGGAACGACGACCACTTGTTCCTGGTTTTCACACCCTCTTTGGCCTGTACCGAAATCAAGCGTGACATGACACACGCTGTAATCCGCGCAAAGGGTTGATCCCAGTTTAGCCGGCTGTCCGTAAACCGTGGAACCCGTTGGACTTAAGCCCGGGTAAATTTGAATCCGTCAATCTTGAGTATCCAAGAGGTAGCATATAATCATCCCGTACGCTCGTAACACTCGCCCATAGACGTTAAAATCGTTTATTTTTTTTTTTTTTTTTTTTCTTTTTTTTTTTTCCAGCCAATGTCAGAGAGATTTAATCCCTATTTTGAGATAAATCATTTCGTCTGGGCTAACATTGACATTATGAACGAATGATTTTAAGAGAGTTCTTTTATAGCACTCTATCGATGATGACTTTTTCGAAGAAATTATCGTAATGATAGAAACATAGAAAACTAGATAATTATAAAGTATAGGTATGTTATAGTGAATGTATTAATTTAATAAATAACGAATCTAGAGATATAAAAATTGAACAAATAAACATATTCATAATGAAATTGAAAAAGATTTTTATTAGTAGAAATATAATGTTCTGTCTAGTCAATGCCCTGTTACGAACAAAACACGAGAGAGATCTTGTTCAGACTATTCAGAAAACTCTTAGAAAATATCCCAATCAAATCGATATTTTTTAAACTTCGTATTATGCCCGAGTCAAACACATTATACCGATGCAATTGTAGACAAAATACCTGCCTCGAAATTAATTAAAATATCCACCAAGATAACATACACTGTATAATTATTATACTATACTGAATAGATCGACATCTAACTTCCAAGTCGTTTAAGTTGAGTTGAAAATATAACGAAACGAATTGTCCGTTTGTGCAACGTTTCATCGAAGGCAAACAAATCGTTCGTGCAGATGCGTCCTCGATCTCCGTTGAAGTCGGTAATTAGGCGTACGAAGGCGCAACTCGAACACAGGGAACACGATTGGGAGAGAGATCGTGGCGAAAAGCCGGAAAAGGGAGAGTAAAAGACGAAATTGCTCGGTGCCCGATGATCGTCGAATAAGGCGAAACGGTATTAAGACGGCGGGGCCGGTTTCCTCGAGACTGATGTATCATTTGCCGGCGGGTCGTTAGGCGGTTTCAATTAGTTTTCCACGCTGCTCTCGTGGCCCACCGTCTACACGAGTATAGGGGAGAGACCAACGCAGCCCTTAATCGCACAGTCCAGTTTTTTCTCATAATTAGGAAAAGCTCGTTAATGCGCCCCTACTATCTCCTTCCCTCCCTCTTTCTTTCATCTTTCCTCGTTTCTTCTCTGTTTTCGTATCTACTGGCTCTTTTTACTCTGAGCGATACCTGATCTTTCAAAATTCAGGAACTCGAATCTCTTTGACGATTTTTCGGAAAATTGTGACACAGAAGTCCTTTCATCGTTATGTGTGACAAAATTAGGATCATTTTTATGAGACAAATATGTTAAGAGGAAATTTTGTAATATTGGAAATACTTTTGTAATCATTAAATTGAATTTACTGATTTCGTTTGTTTTTAATAAGAAAATTTAGAATTATTAACTTCTTTCTTCTTTTATGTCCTTTTATTCTTTTTATGTCTTCTTTTATCCTTTTTCTATATTTTTCTCTTTCCTATGCTTTTCCCCTTCTTTCATTCGTTCCTTTGGGATATAGAAATTTTTCGCATTTTAGGCGATGAACTCGTAGAGATTTATATAACCTGTCGTATAATATTACTTCTCGTCAACAAATTTTCGAACATATTTCATATAAATTGAACACGACTTCTAAATTCCTAAACTTCGGTGTTTTAAAGCGTGAAATGGTCCCTACAACTAAACGTGCTCGTACATTATCATCTTGAATGATTGAGCTGAATATAATTTCTATGTCCACTACGGAAAATTGCAGGGGGCGCATAATTTTTTAAAATTAATGTTTTAAAACATGTAACACGAAGTACCATAAAGTATATAATCTACTCTGTATTTCACCTGTGCTATTATTCATTCAGTAATATAATTTCCATTCAATTTGATATAAATTTTAAATACGTCATCTTATATTGTTCATAATTATTCATAATTATTTTAAAAATATTAAAAAAACGTAAATGATCAAACTTACCGAATGAAGGAACGCCAGCTATCCAGAAACCCCTTTTCAACGATGTAAAATGCTTTTTCTGGATCTTCGCACTTTAATATTTCATTCCTATTTTTTCCATGATACAAATCATTTAATTCGTCCTTTTGCTGCTTAGCTTTTATTTTGTCGTCCTTTTTCGCCTTCTGAGCGTTCTCCATTTTCTCCTAAACAATATTTATATGTCATACTTCAATATATATCAAAATGTTTTGTCTTTATTGAAATACGAAATAATACCTCGCAAATTGAACATGACGCAGCACCAATAGGATATTCCTTGGATTCTGGAAAATATTTTCGAAGTATCATCCAAGCTTCACGGGGCACTACTTTCCTTGTCGAATCTGGTGTTTTCAATGAACCGTGTTCACAAAGTAAATCTTCATTGAAATAGATTATAACCTCGTTCTCTTCACCTTCTACTGGTTCCTTCAGTCCTTCGCTTTCCTTACTTATACCTCTTTTACTATCTTCCTGAGATCCATTTGGATCTTGACAGTCTTCATCCTCAATTTCCTGCTGCATATCATCCGTAAACTTTTCCAGCGCGAGTCTTCGCCATGATCTGAGCGAATCAGCACCGACGATATAACTAATCTCAAATCTGTCACAGTGATGATAAAATTTATTTTTATTTTACAAAATGACGCATTCGTTTTTAAATTATGATTAATCTAGGAAACTTACGGCTCTTTGAAATTGCGAACAAGTTCACTAATTTCCTTGTGATCGCGTTCAAGCGACATCTTAAAACGAAGCAGCTTGTACCGACGTTTTACGCAAACTTCGCAGAAAGAATTTTCATCCAATCGTGGTCCTCCGCGATATTTATCATATAGCAAATCCGCAGCTGTAACAGGCATACACTTTGCACGATTCACTTTCGAAGGATCGAGCCGATAATGTGAACACATTAATATAGAATTATCTATTGGTGGTATTCCGTCGATAGATAAGTGTCCATTGAGCCATTTTGATAACCAATCGCTTGGAATCCATTGATACTTGTCCCACGAAACCACGTTCGAAATAATATTGTACACGTCTATGACAAGTTGTCTCTTCAAATTTTGATCTTCAATCTCTTTTTGCTACAAAAACCACAGTGAGAATTCTTTTTAACTTATTAAACTCAATCTACTGCTATTATTAATGCTCACCTTTTCTTGCTGAATAGCCAATAAACTTAATTCGTATTTCACATTTTCTTGTCTTACTAAGTCGCGCATCGTTGGACTGACTTCCCAGTGTTCAAATTCCATCTATAAGATAACAAACGTACATATGTATCCATGTGAATGTCCATAAGAGAAAGAGTAGAAAAAAATATTAAATATACCAACCTCTTCGTAAAAATCACGTTCTCCACAACTCATAGCTCTATGTGCAGCACCATTTAATCGCTTGTAATCCAACTTCACAATTTTTACAATCGGTTTCTTCAAAATCACGTTGAGCTTATTTTCTTTATTGTCGAATTCGTAATGTTTACCATTTTGTTCATCAAAGGTCGAATCCGTTTTCTCAGAATGTTCCATTATATGTTTTGGAGATGCTCTCAAAGTTTCCACTTCCTGTTCAACTTTCACATCGAATTTTGATATTTTTTCAGAATTATTCATATCCGATACAACCAACATTTTATCACATTTCTGGTTGTCTTCATTTAACGAATCCGATTTTTCTTTAATTAATATTTTTTCTGTAGATGTTGCATCATTATTACTATTAGTTTCTCCGTCTAATTTTTTCAATTTATTTTTCTTTGTACTATTTGTTCGTTTTTCTGGAGTAACTTTCTTATAAACTAACATGTACGCGGTGTTAGAAGACAAAAATCCTTTCGGTATACGTCCCCGTTTTACTACTTTTGGACTTTCTATAATAAAAAAAATCTAACTATATCCAATTCTTTTAATAAATTTCTTTATTATAACAGAATTTATGCTCACCAGTAACGCCATCTTCGATTCTTTTATTCTGCATTTTTTCTACTTTATCGTCACTAAACTGGTACCACTCGCCGTTCAAATTGCATATATTTGCAATATAATGACCTGAATGTGCGGATGGACCTTTATGACTTAAAACTGCGACCAGACTGTACAAATGAGTTTGTGGTGGACATCTCACATACTCTGACATATCGAGATCTTCCGGAAATTGTATGAAAGAATTCAACTTTCTTTTCTGCCCAGAATCTCTAACAGAGACAAAATAATATATTCTATTAACATAATATATATCTAATGACGTAATATAAACGTAATAAAAGTACCTATGAAACACGAAACGCATTAATTGTATGTTTAATGTTTCTGGAAGAGACTCCAAGCGTATAAATCGGCGCGCATCCTTTTTATCACTGCAGGTAACGCAGTGATACTGATTTGCTCCAGTCAATTGTTCCACAGATAAGTATTTCTCTATTGCCTCTTTCAAAGTGGCTGCAAGTTGTAGATCCAATTCGTAGAATGTTGTGGAGGTTGGATATTCAGTTCCGCATTTAGAGCAACTGCGTCAAACACAAAACTCGCGTTATTTAGACAGAATTAACTTCTCTCGGTCAGATCAGTTGATCGCACCAGTCACCGCAGCGAGCAACGTGTCCTACCATGTTCTCATCGTCAAGATCATCAGCATCATCATCGTTTAGGACAATTCTCATTTGTTTTCCACTTCAGAAAACCCACCAATTGATATAGCTGTATTTTCCTTGGGTCAGCCTCTGCAGCATCTGCTTCAGTTCTGAGTTTTGTTGGAGTTTCCCTTCGATATGGCAGAGAAGTAGCTTGGAGAATTCCTGTGCATCCTGCTGAGTTCTAGTGTCCAAAGACAATGCGATCGCGAGATTCATTGGATCGAGCAGACGGCGATTTCCAAATTGCATCATTGCAAATATATATTGCAACTGTCCTACTGCTGTCACCGGATGAAATGATGTTCCTTTCTTCGTAGCTTGACACAGTGCTTCCCTTTCCTCCGGATCCTCTGTGATATTCCACTTGTATATTATCCTCCTGTAATAAATTTCATTTTAGAACAGATGTGTGTAAATAAATGTTAATAATGTCAATAAATTAAAAGTACCTCATGTCTTCGTTATGAAACCACATTTGAATTAAGCTATTAACATAACAAGTTGCACCTAAATTTTTTAGACCAACATATTGGGTAGGGTCACGTAACTCGGACAGAGAACTTTCCAAAGGCATTACTTCTGCAGGTTGGGACTTCATGTACTTTTCTTCTCCTAGTCCAGTCAAACATTGTGGGTTATTTATGCAATTACGTCTGTAAACAAATCATTTATTTTAAAACGTTGAAACAAGAATATTAATTCAGATAAATTATATTTGAAATAAGCACAACTTACTTGCAATTTTTACATGTTTTTAAACCTATTCTATATGCAGTTTCCAAGTGTATTCTTTCTATTTGATCTAATACCACGCTTTCTACCCATGACCATGCTAATTTGTCTAAATCAGTCTTTTTTGTTGGCGGCATTTTTACCTAAAATATTAACAAGCAAATAGTTTATTTTTAATCTCCACAATTAAATCAAAATGTATATTTGGAACTTTATACTTTACTTTGATTTTAAATCAAAAAATTACGAAAAATTATATTGAAAATTGTACGTACATTTCAAATTTAACCTATTACATGTTTTATTTTGTGCTACGAGAAAAATGTAATACAACAGCACAAAATAAAAATAAAACGCAGTATAAGTATCACACAGAATGATCAACTTTATGAAACATACAATCCCGAAAACTCAATGATATAAAAATAATCGTAAACGATATAACAACTTAAAACCTAACATTTGACAAATAAAACGTATTTTACGTATTAAATATTGCATGTTGTATACTCACATAAAAGTACCGTACGCTCCAGACCGTTGAGGTTATGAAAAATGCCGCTGCGAATGTTGCAAAATATTGTGCTTCCTCTACAACATTATCTGATTGTAAACGAGTCTTATCACGTTTTCGAATTCACTAAACTCAAGTATTTATCGACACCATGCGTGAATAGATAAAAATGTATCATCAAAACACCCTAACCGTTTCTGATACACACTGACCGCCATATGCAATCGGCATCAGCCTAGGCGCGCGTCAAATCAATCGCTAATAAGTTGTTGGATTTAAGTTGATACATATATTTTTTCGGTAGTTAGTTACTATATTGTCTATTCGAAATGAAGCAAATATCTTTCTCGAAAGAAATGTTATATACGGAAATTAATGTTATTAACAGAGATTTCACAAACATAAAAAATTATCAATAAGAAAAAATTATCAGCATTGGAAATAGAAAATTAAACAATCTTTTATAGAAACTACTAATAATAATTTTATCGTTTTATCGTTGATTAAAGATAGGATAGACTGAACATTAAATGGAACTTCGTATCTTAGGATTTGAAATACCGATCAAGAAAAAAAAATCACTGGTTTTTTAACACACTCTACGCTTAAACAATTACACAGACGAGATATATCAATATCTTCTCATTAAGCATCTTATGAGATTTCGTAACCCATAACCTGAAATACCGACATAGTAAAAAAATCACTGGTTTTTTAGCGCACTCTATGCTTAAACAACGGTGAGTTAGGAAACTACATCAAGTAAAACGATCAAAGTTGATCAAATAGTGAAGGCGCCACAAATATGATTTTTGAAATCTATTACATGTCAAATATTCAATATCGAAATATAAAGTTAGTAACTAATTGAAATCATTCTATTATGTATCAGAAGGAGCTTTATCCATGTTTTACGATAATACGATGGTATTTTTCATATAGTAAATTAAAATTCTAAAGTTATTAATAAAATATTAAAGAAACTATCAGCTCAAATAAATTTTATCAAAAATTCAATTGAATATGAGAGAAATTAAAGAAAAGAAGAAACAACACTCTCATTTACAAATGCAATCGTTGTAGAAGAAATAATTAATCCTAGTCTATCAAACTTTCTACGAATATACAAATTCGGATAAAATATTTTCCATACACTTATACAAATTAGTTATCCATATATCAAAACTACATATTATTTATTATTCATTAATCTAATGGACATGTACAACTATACAAACATCTAACCGAAATCGCAGCCAATCAGCTCGTATTAATTGCCATATAATTAATAATTGTATTAGTTATATAATTAATTGTTTAGCTATATAATAATGCGATTAGTAATTATATATCAAGTAATACCGAGTGCCCAGGTCTCACCACGTGGAGGTGCTGCGAGTGGAGACCCACCCTAACCACGGTCCCATCCACCCTCCATTTACGCAAAAAATTTACTCATTTATATAAAAATTATTAAACAAATTCTCCTTTTGACATTCGTTTGTAAAACGTTCAATCCTTTGACCGTTTTACAAAACAAATAGCAGAAGGAGTTTTAACTAAAACCGACGCGAAAATCTAAGAATTAAAGTAACATTAAAGTTTTAAATTAAAATTATAATACTATATGAGATAATATTTCATATTTGTATGAGATAATATTTCAATAGTATACTATTATCATTATGAAAATGTAGAATAATTAATATTAAAGAAAAAAGAAATACATACTTTACATCTACTTATCTACTTAAATAGCAGTACTTAAGCATGCATCTAATTACTACGATATTATTAAGTATAAATTAGCAATAAGTGAAAAAGCAGTATATCTAAGTGTTAAGCAATATATCTACTTTTACTAACTTATGTATATTTAACTATAATACATAGAAGAAGAAGGGACGATGAGTATTATATGAAATAAATCTTTCAGAATATAACTGATGTATTTTCTACCTAAATCCTAGCTATCCTAGCTATTTCCATTTGCAGAAAAGAATAAAAGGTAGCGTATTGGACATGATGTAAAATCTGAGTCTTCTGTTGAAGAAATGACGAGTCTTCTGTTGAAGAAATGACGAGTCTTCTGTTGAAGAAATGACGAGTCTTCTGTTGATGTCATAATAGTTCCTGAAAAAAATCTACAGCACTTTGCTAAAATTTAGTAAAATTTTGCAAGATGTTTAATTAATAATTACCAATAAGGAGGGATTCTCTTATATTTATTTCTACTCCTTTAGTCATTCTTTCTGATTCTTACTATACCATTTCATTCCATTTTTAGTTATCATCTATATCTATCTTGTTTTTATATTCATTTTATATTCATATATATGTATATTTGGAACTTTCAATAAGTCAGCAGATCTGTAACAAACTATTTATTGGATTAGCATTTCAAAAAACTGGAAGGAAAATCATATAGTATCATCTGCATTGTCGTTCAACGTGACATCGGTCCTCCCCTGGGCGGCCACTACCTCATTCCAGAACTAGGGCACTACCATCTACTAAAATCACACACTGCCTTGGCACCGGCTATAGGTTTCACCCTCGACAAGGAATCTTGGATTCCAAGCTCTAGATATTTAAACCTCATTCCGTAGCATTGGCCTTACTAACTACTAAAAGCACACACAGCCTTCGAACTGACGTTAGGTCAAACCCCTCGGCTGGAGAACCTCCGCATTGTCGTTCAACGTGGCATCGGTCCCCCCCTGGTAGGTTATTACCTCATTCCAGAACTAGGGCACTACTAGCTACTAAAA